AGGGAGATTGCTAGGGGTCTTTCCCTGTCTTGCCTTTGTGGGGGCTGAAGATTGGATCCCGTGTGTGTGTGTGTGTGTGTGTGTGTGTGTGTGTTTCTTGGCCTGCAGTGTTTGAGGGCATCGGCTGGATTGTGGCTTTCCCTTTGGCTGAACTCCCCCCCACAAAGGAGATTCGATGCAAGTTTCATTCCTTTCCTCCCCCCCACCTTCCAGGTTGGCCCGGTTCCTGCGCAGGAGGAAGGGTCCCAACGAGGTGGAGGAGCAAGTCCTGTCCGACTATATCTCCCCTTCCTGTTTCGTCCTGGAGACGCCCCCAGGCTGTAGGACGGGAGACAAAAGCTGGCCCAAGTAAGTGGAAGGGGGAGGACGGGGGGAGCCTCCCACCCAGGGGTGGGATTCTACCAGTTCACACCACCTATTCGCTAGAACCAGTTGTTAACCTTCTAAGCAGTTCGGAGAACCGGTTGTTAGAAGAAATTACTGGGCTAATCCTGTAAGGAAGGCAGGAAGGAAACATTCTGGTGTTGCTTACAGAAACTGCCTCTCCATTAACCCTTATTACATTCTTGGGCAGGACTAGACTTCCTGTCTCAGGAACTTCTCTGGAGGTTTTTCCCCCTCCTTTGCTGGTACTTTGCTTGTGTGGAGTGACCGTTCAAAGTTACAATGGCACTGAAAAAAGTGACTTATGACCATTTTTCACATTTACGACTGTTGCAGCATCCCCACAGTCATGAGAGGCCAGGCGAGGGGATGGCACCAGAAGTTGTGGGCGCTTCCAACACTGGAGGCTTCTAAGAAGGACAGAAATAGCATAGGTCTCCTGCACAAGAGCAGGGGGTTGGACTAGATGGCCTCCAGGGTCCCTTCCAGCTCTAAGCTGATTCTCTCTCACTTTCCTGTCTGCTAGGACTATCATTAAGTGTTGTACGTTATGATTCTTGATTGTTAACGAATGTACCTTCTCTTTACGTATACTGAGAGTATTTACACCAAGACAAATTCCTTGTGTGTCCAATCACACTTGGCCAATAAAGAATTCTATTCTATTCTATCCTATTCTCCTTCCTTCTCCCCTTCTCCATTTCTATTCTATTCTATTCTATTCTATTCTATTCTATTCTATTCTATTCTATTCTACTCTACTCTACTCTACTCTACTCTACTCTACTCTATTATATTCTACTCTACTCTACTCTACTCTACTCTACTCTACTCTACTCTACTCTATTTCTCGTCTCTCTCTCTCTTTTTTGTTCGGAAACCCGTCCAACTCTTGGTTCGTGCTCTGCCCACAAGGAAGCCGGATCCAACCTTTCTCTCTCTCTCTCTCTCCTGCAGCTGCATTGGCATCGGCAAGGCCATCCTGGCCCCGGCTCGCCACCTCACCAACCGGCTGACGGGCAAAGAGGCGAGGGGCTCTCTCAAAGTGAGGCGCCAAGAAGGGGCATCCCTCGAGGGAGCCGCCCAGCTCTTTGAGAAGTGTGTGCAGCTGGTGCGTGCCACCTTCCAGCCGGTGCCCCGCTGAGTGAGGGTGGCCTTTGCCATGGCACACACGCACACGAGAGAGAGAGAGAGAGAGAGAGAGAGAGAGAGCACCAAGCCCAGGAAGCGGACACAACGAAACGGAGCCGTTCCTCCTCCCATGTGCGTTTCCTGCCCAGTACAGACAACACAACAACTGCTGGTATGAAGCAAAAGAGGCGCAATCCGTGGCGCAATGCCAGCTGGATCCCCACCTGCTGCGAAAGGAATTGGCCTCAGAAGACCCGGGACCCTCAAAAACTCGGGGGCACCGGGGCTTCAGTGGGCGGCTGATGGCACCGAGCCCCAAAACGAAGGGACGACGGGGAGAGGTGAAGCCGCAGCCAGGTGGGGATGTCCAGGTGACGTCCCTCACCTCTCAAAGCAGAGGGGGGGGGGGGCCTGAGCAAGACTCCTCTTGTGGGGAGGGGCAGGGGTCTCCCACCCCACCCCACCCATGATCTCCTTGCAAAGGGGGCAGCCTATAACTTATTTGGGGAAGGGACAATGTCGTGGGGCCCTGAACGATGTCGCAATAACATGTTTTCTAAACGTGGCTTGAGGTCTTCTTGGTTTTTTTGGGGGGGTGGGGGGGAAGGAAGGAAGGACACCAAGAAGTAGGTGGGGAGGGGGCATCAGACGTGGTATTCAGCCAGTTGGAACCAGTTCTGGAGAACTGGTAGCGGAAATTTGGAGTAGTTTGGAGAACCAGCCAATGCCGCCTCTGACTGGCCCCACCAACCCCATTTATTCTCCGCCTCCAGAGTCCCAGCTGATCCGCTGGGTCTCCTTTGGTTGCCCTGCATAGGAGAACGGAGCTGAAAAGCAGGTTAGTGGCGTGCGGAGGGAATGGGATTTTGCGGTACATCCTTCTGCCACGCCCACCAAGCCGTGTCACGCCCACCAAGCCACGCCCACAGAGCCGGTAGTAAAAAAAAATGTGAATCCCACCTCTGGGGTGGGGGGCATTGCCTCTTCTCAGCCGCCCACCGTCCCCTGCGCTTTGAGGGCAGACACGGCCTCCTGGAGCATTTGTACGATGATTTATTGGGGAGTGAGAGGTAGAGGTAGGACAGATTGTCTCAACTCTGAACTCATCCCGGGGAAGGTCCCCAATCTGGAGAGAGACCAGCCCTCCCATTTCACAGTTCCCCCCGGCTCCCCCCCCCACCGCCAGAGTTCTACATTCCAAGTTGCCCCCTCGTCTTCAGCCTTGGCTTGAACCCCTCCCTGGGCATGGCTGGGATTCTGCTGGGGGGAGGGGGGCTCTCCATCACCATGAGCCTGGCTGGGCCTTCAGAGCTTACAACATGGAAGCCTCCGGAAATGGCCTCCTCCTTTTCTCCATATTGTACTCCTCTCGCTCCGTCTTCAAGCTGGGAGCTTCTGAGCTCATCAGCCAACCGCCAGGAATCTTCGGGCTGCTCCGGATGAAGGGGAGGCCGAGGGGCTTCCTTCCTGCAGCTGGTCCCCCCGTGACAGGCCAAAACAGTGTTAGGGTGATCCAGTTTGGGGTTCCAACCTCGGTGTTTGGTGGGAGAAAGAGCTGTCCCCAAGGAGGACGTGGGGTGAGCAGCACAGGAGGGACAGGATCCATTGGTTGGGCTCCGATGTAGACACAGGGCAACTGTCAAGGGGATGGGATCGGGTGGCACCACGACAGCTCCATGTCTGAGTCTGCGCCCCATCGGGACAGCTGCAGTGAGCGTGTGCAAGGCAGGCCAAGAGGGGAGTGGGCAAAGGGCGTTGTCACACACACTACGCAGGATGGTTGCCTGGTGGGCTCTGCCACCTTAGTGTCTGGTGTCGCAGCTGTGGCTATTGTGGGGGAACCCCTCTTGCGGGGAAGTACTAAACAGGGCCGCGAGCCCGGCCGTGGGGCTGGTGGGACTCATCCTTCGTCCAGGCTGACTCGGGTCAGTGCTGTCACGCCGGGAACCCATGACCCGATCCACCGTCTCCAAACGCACAGCGGGCAGCAAGCCCAGATTCCGCGGATCGGCTCGGGACAGCGGAGTCTCCTCGAAGCGCCAGCTTGTCCGGGCCTGGGAGGTGACAGAGGAGGAAGAGGAGGCCTCGGTGTTCTGCACCATCTCCCGTGACTTGGAGCGGTGCCGTGGGCTGTCCTTGGAAAACTGGATGCTGGGAATGTCCGCCTTCAGAATGGTGCTGTGGCGGCGTCCCTGGGGCGAGGGGCTGCGGCTGGCCCCTTGGTCACGGCTGGAGGATCGCAAGAGCAGACCCTGGAACTTGGCCAGGCTGGGGCTGCGGCTACGGTGACGGTGCATCTTGCCGGGGCTGGGGCTGCGGGATTTGGGTCCGAGGAGCACCAATGTGCTGTCGTCGTCCTCTTCGGAGGTGCTGTTGGTGCTGTCCGTGGCACTGCTGACTTGCTCCAAGGTGGGCAAAGAAATCTAGGCCAGGAAATTGAGGGGAGGGTGTTATGATATGTACAGAATAACCCTTGAGTAACAAGGATATGCACATGGAAACGTTTATGAAAGTAGTTATGAATAATTATTCAGTCACACAGATACACTAAATTAAGTTAAAGTTTACTTTAAGAAATAGCACAGTCCAATAAACGGTCCAGGTCATATACGTTTTACAGTCCAAAGAATATCCAATTACAAAGTCTTCTTACCGGTTGCCTTTGTCATTTACAGCAAACAAAGATATCAAAGTATAAGCACAGCATAAATACAACAGAGAACAAAATGTCAGAGAGACAGAATGTCAGAGAAACAGAATGTCAGAGAGAGCAAGCCATGATCTCTAGCTCCCTCTTATGGCAATTCGCAATACAATCAACCAATCGGAACATAGTACAAATCAATGCAGCGACTTTGTCTTAAAGCTACAAACATACATTGCTGGTTTATATATTGCCAACCCAACTAATTGGTGGACAGATTCCTAACAGAGAGTGGGAGGAAAGTCAGTTTTCCTCAAACCACAAACACTGTTCGTACATCGTCTTGGACTCTTGGAACAGAGTCGCTCTGTTCACACAATATACCAACGCACCCTTCGGAGGATGCCTGGATCACCCAACATGCAAAGACAACCTTGGGTTCCCAGAATACGCTGACCGTACACCACTCAACCCGGTGTAGTTCTTTGTGGAAACACAGCCACACAAAGTTGCACCCAACTTCCTATGGCCAATTTGCCGGGACCAAGTCGCCACGGCCAACTCGCCGTGGGACTAATATCGTCACACTAATATCGAACAAATAGTGGACTGGAATAATTAAAGGAGGGACAAAATGAAACGGGGATGACAAAAATAATGGTTTAATTCTTTTCAATAATGGCATTAAATTGTGGAATTGTCCTGGGGTGACTTGGCCATGGTGAGTTGGCCACAATGAAGTGTCTCATCCCATCCCAGACAAGGGCCTCCTAGCCAAGAGCAATGGCACACACCTTCATTGCTGGTGCAGCTACTGAACTAAATGACCAGAGTTCTCGTATGCTGTTGTGTGGAACACAACTGGGTTTCAACAGGAATGAAAGTATTAGAAAAGAATAACACATCCAATTCCACGGACATTAGAACTACAGATTGCAATTATGACCAAATTGGGAGTGCAATTTTGGTTGTCAGTCATGCCAATCTGAAGGAAACCAGCAACCAACGTCACCAATCCTTGTTTTCTGTGTCTCTGGGACACTGCAACCGGGCGTAAATGTGAGCTGGTGGCCAAGCACCAGAAATGCAGTCATAGTCATTGACCTCGACACAGTCATGCCATGTACATGGAAAGTTGCTCACCTGGAAGGGATCCGTCATGCCCACCATGCAGCCGCAGTTGTTGCTGTAGTAGCCAAGGATGTAATCCCCCTTCCCTTTAGGCAGGGACTCCTCGGGAAACGTTAGCTAGAGTTGGAAGAGAGAAGGAGAGTAGGGGAGATGGAAGCCCAGCAGAAAAGGATCCACAAACCAACCAACCAACCAACCATTCTAATAATTCTAATTCATATTCTAATTCCAATTAACTCTAACTCTAACACTACTCTAATTCTAACTTTTACTCACTCTTACTCCTACTCTTCCATTCCACTCCACTCCACTCCATATTTTCTATTCTATATTCCATA